ATTTGTTTCACAAGCCCATATGGTATAAAATCACATTGCTCTCTATTAAAGGCTTAGCTAGAATTAATATTATTTTCTTAATTATGCGTGAACTTTTCTGTATCTGTTAGCCTGCAAGTAGTCCAGGGCTAGGAAAGAACAAACCTTCAGTTTCTACTGGTCGCTTACTTAACACAGCTGAATGCTGTACAAAGTTTTCATGCTACCAGTTTTCTGCAAGTACCTTCTCCAGGCTGCCCTACACTCACCCCAAACACCTCCTTGTTTAACGGAACAGGGAATACATACACAGCAAACCAGCAACTCCATTCCAGGACCTATTCCCTGACAATGTCCTGGCACAGAGAACCACGCAGAGAGCCCTGTGTTAGGGAAATGGAACAAACTGTCCAAAAATGACAATTCATGAGGCTCTTTTCTAGCTAGTGTTAGCTGATTTATGTTCTGACAAGATAGTATTTATATCCATGATAATACAAAAATTAGTGGGATATTTTTCAAACCTAATATTCTCCTCACCTTGCTACTTCTAGGAACGATCTCTACAGACTGATGACTGGCTGGAAGGAACAGTCACTTTTATCCACTTAAAACAGATTATCATTCAATTTGGAAAGAGTATCTTTAGTTCTTCCCATTCTAATAAAACAAATATAATTTTTATAATATACTGAAATACGAATCCTTGAGGTCATCTAATCCTTCCTCATCTCAAAGAAGTACCACCAGTATCTCCATCATCTCTGATATTTACTTCTTTAACCAGTGCCTAAAAGCCTCCAGTGACAGAGATTTTACAACTTTCCTAATCAGTCTCCATCTTTACATATTATTAAAAAAAACCACAAAACAAAAAAACCCACCATTCTCTTATTTATGAAGTCTTCACAGGCCTCTCACTACTACTGCTCTCTGAGTTACGCCTCTTTTTACTTGTTAGTCATGTAGATGACCAAAATCAGAAAAATACTCTTGTAAGTATATCCCACAGATTTACAACTGCCTTTGTATCATTCTCTGCCCCATTTCTTAACCAGACTAACAGTTTACTTGCTTTCTTAGTAGCAGTGGCTGCTGCTACACACTAGGCAGCTCACAGTGACATTCAAGCCTTCCTCCTAAATGGTTGCAGTTCATTTAAAACCCAGCAATGTATGAGGAAATGCAAAACTTGTTTATAAAATTCATTGCTCATCCCCTTTTCCAAATGACTGATCAATCTATTAGACACTCCATACACATCTCCAGGGCACCAGAACTGTCTTTTTTTTTTTTTTCTGTTTTAACATTGGCAACGAGTTATTTATCACTATATTAAATATTTGTTTACATGATGGCATGCTTTGAGATCCTTCTTACACTGTACTAGATGTTGTTTCATATAACAGTTTCTGTACTTACCATAAAAATCTATGACCACATTTTAGAGGTAGATAACCAGACAAAAAGAAGACTGAGAATAAGCAAAGGAGTTGGATAAGCGATACATAGGTTTGTATAAATTCGCATTCTTGATGTGTAACATTAAACTGTAAAGATTAGCAGGAACTATGAAAAAACACATATTAGCAGAAAATAAATATGGATAAGGACTTACATTAACAGGAGGAGCTTCCTAAGCACGGCACAAAGGACAAAGAACAAGAGCATTATGGGAAAACAAAGGTGATCTGAAGTGACAGCAAGTATATTGCAAATACAGACATGACTTAATAGTCAAGAAAGGGACATAGACCTTTATAGGTGTAACTTGTGTATAAAAGGCAAGAAGATTGGTTTTGGAAGGAAGATAAAGTGAGAACAGAAAAAGGACACAGAAGCAGATTAAAAAAAGGTCAGAACAAGAGGACAAGAAAACGAACCTCTCAGCAGCTTCTTGTGTAAAGATGACACAGGCAAGGTCAATGGTACAAGCCACCAAAGAGAAGATGGCTGCAATTGTGTCACAAAAGGACAGATGTCTCGATAAAAGCTTTACACAAGATCTGCACCATGGACCTTCTCAAGGCTATATGGGAAGAGTTTTGAGAAAAAGAAAAAAAAAAAAGGAGACAAAGGTAACACCTACTGAAGGGATCCAGCCAGCAGGGAGGCCTATGATAGGGTCTAGAGGACAGAAGAAACTGAGACAAGGAATGGCCTGCAGGAATATTAATAACTTGGTCTGGGTCAACAAAATTTAAGACAACAGCTGGACATCCAGAGGAAGATGTCATAAAGATAGCCTGAAATGTACTACTGGACAGTAGAAAATGCATTGATAAAGACATAAGTCAACATAAATGCAGTGATTAAAGCCACATTTATCCATAGAAGTGCTAGAAATAGAGCAGAGAGGAACAACACAAAAAAAAACCCAACCAACCAAAAAAAAAAAAAAAAAGGACAAAGCAACAAAGCAACGGACGAAGCCTTTGGCGGGGGGGAATTCTCTCTTCCCACATAAACAATGTACAAGACCCTGATGAAACAGAACAGGAGCAAAAGAGTAGTAAAAATAAATAAGTGACAGAAATGTAACCTTTTTAAAAGAAGAACTGCTAACCAGAGCTGTAACAAACTACCAAGAACTCAAGCAGGATGAGAATGAAGTATTGCACTTGAGATTTTTAACCGTTAAGAGATTCCACCTTTCAGAGGTATCCTATTTGACTGGAACAAACAAGGAAGAAGACATCTTCTAAGCTGGCAATATGGAAAAGAACAAAGGCAGGATCAGGTGCACAAGAGCAAAGGGCGAAGTGACCTTAGCAAAGGAACACGTTTCCAGAAAGCTCAAGTGAATCCAAAAGCTAACTGCCCTTAGGAAATACTGTAAAATTATCCTGTTCATTTAAGCGTTCATACAGCAAAACATTTTCTCATAGCATTCTACTTCTATTTACCTCTCCTCATTTTTGGGTGGGGGGTGGGGGGTGAAAAAAAAAAAAAAGCAGCCTGCAATAACGACATCAAATAATGTTATCACAAATAAAATAAAAAGTAAGTAATTTGAAGAGGAGATTTTCCCCTGAAATTAGAGCAGAATCTGACTCCAAGGAAGTCCAGTAAAGTTTGCTCTGTAACTTGATTTTTCAAGGAATTAATTCAGATGCTGATACACTGTGGATGGTCATAAAACTCAATAGCCAGCGATATGTAAACTCAAGGTAATGGCTGTGACGGCACATTCCCTTATTTGGTAGGATACAAGGCCTGAAGACATAAAATGAAGTTATAACTTTTTAAATCTTTTTTTTTCTTCTTTTTTTAAGAAATGGAAGACAGACTCCCCCAACCTGTGTTTTGATCAAAATGAATCTGAGATAAGAAAGAAACTCAAGGAAAGAACAAACAAGGAAGGAAAAGCAGAACTAAAGGAAATCATAGTGGAGGAAAGGAGAGTGTCATGCATGAAGTGTTCAGGTAACAAAATAACAGGCAAGAACCCCCAGCCTCACTAACAAGTAGCAGGAAGATGAAAACAAATGCAGATATTCCAGGCAAACGCAGATATTCAAGTAAGATGTCACTAGTGACAAAACTCATAGGGCAGAAAAGGCAGATTTTTCTAGCATTCAAATAAGTAATGGAAATGAGTTCTGCTACATTCACTTTGGTATAAATCAAAAATTCCCATGCTTAAGAGGATAGCATGCTGCTTTCACATGAAGTCTATCTAGATGTGGAAGAAGCAAATTCACATAACTATTTATTTTTGCCACTCTTCTTGATACTAAAGGAAGACCACGGGTGTGCAAATGCCAACAGAAACCTTGGAAAAGGCAAAAGCATCACATATGCTCACCCCTCCCAACTTCCCTATGATCCTGCCCAGCTATAGCCATCCTGAGCCAAACTACCTTCATGAACCCACATGTCCACAACAAAACCACGGCTACAGACCTGCACACCTGCCCCTCAGTCATCCCTGTACAACCGCCAATCTCACAACAGACTGCTCCTGTATGCTGGCACCACATCACCTGCTCACCGTTCTTACAAATACAGAATGCCACCTCAAAGTCCTCAGCCTTGCAAGTCCCACCATATCCAGGATCTGCAGGACACATGCTAGACCCTACACATCTGGAGTAAGCCTAAATTACAGAGACAACTTAGGAGCCTGCTGTGAGCTCCACAGATGTCTATGATCTTTGCACAAGAGCCCCGACCTGAAGTCTTCAAAAAGGTGTCACAGGAGGTGCCCGAATCCTCAAGAGAGAACACACTCAGGACTATTAGTATCCAAACAATATCTGCATTCCTTGGGGCTCTTTAACAGTCTTATTTTTGTTAAATGTGTATCAATACGAGAAATCCTAATGTTATAAACAGTGACTGCTCTCAATCGCTAGCAAGTCTTTTAAAGAATATAATTTCCAATGGCACCAAAACAGGGTTAGCATTTCCCCTTAAATGGGGATTGAAGACTTGATTCTTAAACAAAAGCTGGAAAATTTTTTAAGACCTGAAGGATTGCTTTAATTAAGCATGGCACCCTGAAATTCTCTCATGGGTGAGTTCCCATAGACTGTTACAGATCTGCAGAGCTAATCTCTTCAAGCCCCTGAAAGTCACCTGTTAAGTAGCCACAGGATACATAAGAGCCAAGACTGGAGACAAGAACCAGAGGCAGTACTACAAGGCTTCATCAGGCTTTCATCAGAATTGTTTTTCAAAACACAAGTTTGATTACAGAACAAAGTGTCCTACAAGCCCATTTGGGTCAGATCCAGTGCAGATTCTGCACCATGATCAAGCTCAAAAGCACGCTACTCACCATTCATGGAGAATCAAAGCAAAAATCACAGCACACATTCCCCCCAGACACAAGCCTATATTATCAATGAATCAGTGCATATTCTGGGGGCTGTACAGAGCCCGGTGCTCTCCTGGCGAGGCAGTTACCAGCGCCCCAGGAGCACACTGCAGGAGCCGATCCAGCCCAGCACAGAGCCTCCAGTTTCCACTCATCCCTCTATTCAGAGCCAGCCAGCTCACTAACTTTCCCGACTCACCACCCCATGGACCAGAAACTCAAAAAGTTTGCTTTTCGTAGCTTTGCGAGCCCCTCCTGTAACTTCGTCTGTAGCCATCAGGGTCTGCTCAGCCTCTCTCACTCTCTCTCTTCCTCTTTCTTTCCCTTTTCTGCCTTTTTCTCCAACTCTCCCCTCTGAGTCCTGCTGGGCTCTCACACTTCTAATAGCACGGAGTGGGGAGGGGGCCCCTTCAGGGCCTTCCTGACGGCCCACTCGCACTAAGCCTCAGCTGCTGCATTCCTCCACTGATAAGCCAGAAATAGTTTGTGCTGCCGGGTTCTCTGTGTTTACTCTGCAGGGACAGAAAATCCAGCTTTTAAAACCTCTCTGTCCAAACAGCAGAGATAAGCAGGAGGCAAACTGAAAACACGTCTCCGCTTTTTCCTAGCAGTGCCGCAACCTCTCCTCCTCTGCACCAGTGGATGGTAAATTCTGGGGCAAGGGGGAAGGGGGAGGGGGCAACTTCAGCAGTGACATAGAACTCAGTACCTCACAGAGTGTGTTTTCCCATTAGAAAATGCAGCAGGCGAGCAGTGAGAAACAATGGTTTTCCCTTGCTCCCGCTGCTCCTCCTGCACTGCATTTCCAGGCCTTTTCCCCAGGGACCTGGCAGGCAGCACACAGAAAACATTCACTGGCAGCATTTCCAGCATGTGAGGCCGAGAACTAACCCCTTTGGACATGGGAGAGAAACAGCGGGAGGCAGAAAGCTGGGAACAGGGAGGGACAGC